TAATATTTATTATTTATTTCCTCAATCCCTTTTTTAAAAAATATCCCAGTTGATTCTAAAAAGAATTTGGAGTTACATATGGCACCTTCCCTCTGGTTCCCCCCTTAAAATGCCCATGAATTATTAATAGGGTTTGTAGCAAAGGGCCATGACCAATGGATTTGGGCTGTTGGGGTGATCATGACCAGTCTCTTGGAGACAAATGCTCCACTTCATTAAATCATGTTCTCGCTTTCTCCATGGTGAGAATTAGCTTTAGAGCCTGGAACTAGAGATGGGCCCTGATTCTAGACCTAGCCTGGGGACAGAGTTGGGCTCTGAAGGATGGTATCATCACTTGCGCCAGATGATAAGTGCTGAGAAATTGGGAAGGAAAATGGTAGGAAGAAACAGTCTTTGGACTCTCCTGTGTATGCCAGCTTAAGAGACAGCCAGCTGTACCACATCTGTCCTGCAGGGCTGCTCCATCCAATCTCACTATATGCAGAAGTCAGGGACAAAGGAACCCTGATTTTAGTGCTGCACATCAGATCTTTACACAAATGCAGAGAGGTTTTCCTGATCACCAGATTTGAGGTGGCCTGCTGGCCACTTGCTGTCACATTGTCAAGCTTTATCTTCATGGCATGTGTCACTAGTAACATCTCCTTATTCACTTATCTGGGTTGTCTTGTGGTTGTTTAATTCTTCCACATTCTACTACTGTGTGTTCCATGATAAGAGGGATCTTAAGTATCTTGTCCAGTGCAGTACACCCATGATGACCTCTGTGAGCTCTCAATAAATGTTTGTTAAATAGTATGTAGACGTGATAGAGGCGCAACTTCAGCTCCTCTCTCTGCTACTGGGCTGGTGCCTGCCCCAACTTCCCTCCAAGGACAGACCCATTTCCTGCAACATTAACAGGCCATGACCTCTGGGAGTGGGATTATTAGGCATTTAAAGGCCTTGTCCAATGCGTCTCTTTCTTAGGCTTCCCACCTGAGATGTTGATTGGGTTTTACCTTTTGGGAAAAGTCCTCAGTACTTTTGAACTTCATCTTTTTCCCCATGCAGTGAAATCAATTACCTTCTAAATCACACACACACACACACACACACACACACACACACACACACTCAATCATGTATATCTCTACCCTGAGGGATGCCCATCTCACTCTCTCCACAGGAAAGATGGAACGCACTGGTCCCGAAACGTATGGCAAGAAATACGAAAGAGGGGCTATGTGCTTCAATCTTTTTTTTTTTTTTTACAATTTGCATTTTCATTTGGAATATAATTTGCTTGTTTAGGTTCAAATTCTGTACCTAACCTAAAAACAGATTCTCATTCTGTTTTTTGTTTTCCTGTATAAAACCTAATGACCCTGTTTAAAAAAAAAAAAAAAAAAAAGTGGAAGTGAGTCAAAATTTGGGAATTCCTGTGTACCTAATTATTATACCATTAAAATAAACTCAAACACCATCATCTTTATTTCTATACTAAAATTTGACCATGGTTTTCAAATTGATGGATCTGTCACGTAATAGCTCGTAATTTTGCAACTTATGTGAGGAAGTACATTGTCCTCTTCAGAGTCCTATTTCAAATTTGGCACTTAAAACCCCCAAGAGCCCAACTTCGCTCACCATGACATTTCCTCTCATCAGAAGTTTTTAAACTACAGTTAAAGGGAAGGATACAGAACCATCCTATCAGTATCACGCAGACCAATTCAAAAGGATAGGACCAAGGTAGGAAGGGTTGTCCAAGCCTTTGCCTCCTGAACTCAACACCACCATCCCCATTTGTGTCCTTATTCTGTCCCTTTAGAATAAGAAGTTTGTTTATTGTCTATCCAGAAGAACAGACTCATTTCGATAAAATATCATGACTTCTGCTTTTACTATCCTACCCTGTGATAATTATTACTGATCAGTAATAGTCATTTTTGAGTAGCAAACTCTACTTGGAATAAATAAAATGGTAAAATGGGTCTTCCAATAAGTCTATGAAAGTATTTCAGATCTTTGGAAACTTCTCTTTGCTTTCTTCTTCTTTCTTTTGAGCGGGGGCAGTGCTAGGAATTAATTCAGAGCCTCATGCATGCTAGGCAAATGCTCTACCATTGAGCTACACATCCAGCCTTGGAAACTTATTCTTGAATGCTATATCTATGACATTTTAACACCATCACTAACTGCAACACTTGTAACTAATGAAAGATAAAGTGATGTTCAAAATGAAGGTCAACAAAATGGCAAATGTAGTAGCCATAAATACGCCTACTACATTTTATCTTCTTAACATATGCTAAACCCCAATTCATCTGAAATGCAATTTTATGTAATTGAGTATTGCTTGGGAAAAATGTGGTCCAAGAGGGACTTTAGAGTTTTGCTGTGCTGTTCATTTGAGGTTCGAGTTTTATTCTTGATTTTACATTTTAAGCTATATAAAACCATTCGTTTTCACTCATCTATTCACAAGACAGGGCTGGAAGTAAATACATTTTAATGAATATGTTTTTAATAAAAGTAGACTCCAAAGTTTTTGATAAATTGAAATTCAAAATAGATACAAATAAACCCGACGGTCAAATTTGCAATGACAAACTAGTATGTTAAAACTATCAATACGAAAAATGAAGTTTGAGATAAGTAAACACTGAAGTATTTCCTAGGGAAAAATAGCAAAGTAAAACACCCAGTAGACAGTCTATTATAACTCAGTGTGGACACCACCAGTATATTACACAGAGTAGACTTCACTTCTCCAAGTGCAAGGAAATGGAGCCGAACTGAATATTTTTGCATTCCCTTCTAGTAAGAAAATCCCTATGAGATGGCGAACATGCAAAGTGAGCAGCAAGTTTTCAAATTTAGTACTCGATTTCATTTGGAGTATGAAATGGTCTCATACCACTCCAACAGCAAACTTGAGAAAGCAAAAGAAAATAAACCATTACATTATTCTTACTGTTTTTTTCCTCATGTTTATTTCTCCCTTCATTTTCTCATTTTAAATTTGACATTGTGAAAATTAAAGTTACTTTTCTTCCCATGATTTTCCACCTGACACTGCCCATGATTGGCAGCAACAGCCACACAAACTAATAAGGATATGGTAAAAAATACTGAAAGGCTGCAAGAGATTAATGAAAACCCTATTTCCTATTTTAGGCAATATATAGAAGAATGCTTCATGCGATTGTTCACATATCTTTGTCTGCTTTTTCTTGCATCATCAGGTGGCATTCCTTGTAGGACCAGTTAGCAGCCTGCCTGAAAGACACTACACTGGTACCTACCACTAAAGCAGAGATCTCCCTACACACCTGCCACTCCCTGATATTCACCTCCAAATCCTCTACCATCAGGCAGTCTATTTCAGGAATTCAATATGGGGAAAATATAGGAAGAATTTAACATTTTAAAAATTGGGAACTGCACAGTCTACAGCCTTGCTACTTGCATATGTACATGAGTATGAAGTCATACTCTGTGTGACTCCATAGAACATCATAAATGCTGAAAGCTAAAGGCCAGGCCATGTTCCCTAACCTTTCTAGGCTATTATAACTCTTACAAATTGGAGTTTCTGCCCCTTTGTAGGGAAAGTTGAAGCTATCCCCCAAGAACCAACTCACTCAAAACAAAACATAGAGGGGCTGAGAGAGAGGGAGGAGAGGGGCAGGGAAGCTCTATGGTATTCCAAATCACAGCACATCTGTACTACTATCACCGACAGGTCTGGAAGCTGTGTGGACAGCTCTGACACTGGGAGTATCTGAACTTATGTCTAAACTGGCACCATCACAGAGTTCACATCAGGGATCAAGGACCCTAAACCCTGCCCTGTTCAGTGAGCCCAGAAAAGCTGCTCCACTCCTTGAGTGCTTCCTGGTAATAACCTGTCTGACGACTCTCCGAAGATTTACAAATAACTGAGATGATAAAATACTTGGAAAATGAAAGTGCCATAGAAACACTAAATATATGAGCCAGGTCTGCCAGAGGAGTTGGTTTCTCTGCTGATACCAATTAAAACATGTTCATAGATGTGTTATATCTTTCATGATGCCAGCAAGTCCAGGGTTCAGATGACATATTTCTATCCTGAGAAGGGTCACAGGAGATTATGTGACTCCCTTGCCAGGGTTTATGAAACATTTTCTCTGGAATTTTTCGGCTGGATCTTCACAATAAGCCTGGGCAGATGCAATTGTTCCCATTTTAGGGGGAAAGAAACCAAGGTTCAGAAAAGTTCAACTATTTGCTCAAGATCATATAGCCAAATGAGACAGAATCCAGGCTAGAGTTCAGGTTCCTCACTCCTATTCCTGAGTGGCCCTGCCACCCAAAATGGGAAGGAATGGCCTAAAGTAATTATTTGCATTATTTATTTCTGCTCACTTTTGCTGAGCACTTGCTGTGTTTCCAGGTATTATCTCATTTAATCTCCCACTTCAAAGCAGGTACTGTTTCCTATGGAAAGCTTCACTGACCACCTCAGCCTAAAAAGAGCTCCTTCCACTAAAGCTGCACAGCGTTTTTCTCTTAACAATACTAGTCTGATATATTGTGTATGATCCTTCATTTTAGCTAAGTTTTCACATGCATGCTCTATCATGATGTCCTTAAGGATAGGAAATATATCAATCTGTGCATCTTCCAAGGCACTCAGAACAGTACTGTGTGCACTACCAAAGCCTAATTAATACTGGTTGCATGATTGGAGGTATATGATTTAAAAAAAAGAAAAAGAAAAAGAAAAACTTACATGGAACTAAGTTTCACAGTGATAAGTATTTCACATTCCAGAAAATGAGAAGCCTCAGCTCTTCAATTATTTGAGTGAACACTACATTAGCTGATTGCATTTCTGCTCTACCTCAGACATGTATATTTTCAAAGTACAGAATGGGCCAGGGGTAATCAGCCCACCCAAAGGAGAATAAAATTCTTGTTTGGAACTGATCTGACCATCCAAATCTTCTTTGCTGATGGCCCCTTACCTGATAACATATTGTCTGTTTTTATTGAGGGAAACTTCAAAGTCATCTCATGCTTGTGCCTATGAATCATCAGATGGTCCTCTGTTGGGAAGCGCTGTGGCACAAATAGAAAAAAGGAATGGAAAGGAGAGATAGTCAGTTTTGTAGCACATATTTGTCATCAGAGAGAAAAAGATTTATTTAACATTGTGAATGTGACTTGCAAAAGCAAAACAATCAGTTCTGAAAAAAGTATGAAAGCATGAGTAAAGTTACAAACTATTCTAAGCAAGCAAATGTGCTGAGATATTTCTTTCATTTATTCTCAAATATATGTATGCATCATGATTTCCATTAGTTTACCAAAGGGTTAACTATATTGCAGAATCTGGCTGAGTGCTGATAATGAATAAGAGATCTTTGCTATCAATCATTCTCTGAGTCCCCACACCTTCCCTGGGAACTTTTTAAAAGGCCTCTACTTCTATTCCCTGGATCTAACCAACTGCACTGACTAATTAGTACATTATATTTTTCTTTAGGAACTAGAAGATTTCATCTGAGGGTAGGCTTTAAAATTTTGTGTTTTACTAAAGGATAAAACAGAAAGAGGTAAATTAAAATTATATATATAAAATCATTACATGATTATATATACATATATTTCAAAAATGTGCCATGCCCTAATATCTGCCTGATGCTGGCAGCTTTCTTTTAAAAAAGAAATAGCATTTAAATTAATGTTTATTATGTTAACAAAAAATTAACTACTAATGGCAGCATGAAAAAATTAAAAATTTCCCATTTCTTCTTATAAACATAAGAAGACCATATCCAAAATAAGAAACTGGATTTAGATCTGTGAGGAACTGGAATTTTGCAAAACCATATGGAACTTTTCTGTAGTGGTTACTGTTTTACATAATAGTGTAAAATTAAGTCTAAGGCATGACAAGTATGCTAGACATTTATCTATAGATTAACCCAAAGTAGGAGAAATGCATGACATAGAAAAGAATTTTGATTCATGTCAGACTTTGGAAAAGAATTATATGCCATGCTTGACATATATACTACAAATGTACACCATGACATCTGTATAGTATGTTTCTGTTTATGAAGCCCTGATCCATCCATTATCTGTTTTTTATAAGTAGACATACAATTTTATAGTAACATGACAGCTTATTTTTAGTATCCTATTCTCTGCATAGTAAATGCTTATTTATTTTTAATTTTCAGGGAATGATATTATCATTATCAATAATGCTGCTCCCAACAGTGAATAACCACATCATGTACATACACAAGACGGGGATCATAATTAGGATAAGATATACTCCATGTTTATATAACTATGTCAAAATATACTCTACTATCATGTATAACTAAAAAGAACCCAAAAACTGTGATTTAACCCTCTCAAAAAATGCTGCTTCCAAATATTTTTGGCTATCTGATTTCTGGTCTTGAGGTGGGACTAGATTTTCTGGCCCTATTCTGTTGGATGGAGTCATGTGACTAGCTCTGCACATTTAGTCATGAATGAAAGTGACCTGTCACTCAGAGGCAAGCATGGAATTACTGGTGTAAGATCCTCTGTTATTCCCCTCATCTTTTTAATGGTGTATCATGGTGACTTGCAATACTGGAAATAGTAGTCACTCAAAAATCCTAAATCTCTGAAGAATTATGAAAAACATTTCTGAATTCTAAACAATTTTGAAGCGCTTCCTGCCAATCTATAATAGAAATGAGTTTTTTATGTTTTAAGCCATAGAAGCTTTGGGGTGATTTTGTTATTGTAACAGATCCTAGCCTATCCTGACTTAGATTGATATGTTGTAATAATTAAACTTAACAGAGTATCTGCTTTATCAAAATCAAATAAAAATACAAGAAAAGACAATTCTGCTGAACATTTCCATTTTTTGACAATTTTTTTTAAAAATCCATTCAGAACTTCCTAGTTCCTCAAGATTGACAATATACATTTTCAATTTCAAAGACTATAGATTTGTATTCATGAGAACAAGGGAATTCCCTGGACTGAATGCCACGAAATATTCTAAAAGTAGTTCTTTGTGTAAACAACAATTATTTACTTTTCATTATAAGTAAAAATTGGAGAGCACAGAATTGGAAATGCATGGCAATTAGGCCAATTTCTGAATAGGCAGAAGTTTGTTTTATGTGACATGATAGTTCTTTGCCTCTGTTTCATCTCTTCTCTCGTCTTTATAACATCATATATGATTGCACTCAATATGCAACACTACCACATGTGACTTAGAGACAGGGGTTAAATTTTTTTGTCTTCTTGTCAAAAACATAATTTTCATGATATACATACATATATAATCAACATGCTCATATCCCTCATTTCATATTGACCAGACATTTTTTTCTGTAAAATAATAGCCTAATGTTAGGATGTTAGACTACTTCTTAATAATTCCCATACTGGCTCATATTAACTATCATTACTTTCAAAAGGAGACACTATAAGACAACTGTAATTTTTAAAAATCAGGTAGGAAAATAGCAGCAAATTGTAAATAATCAAAATGTACAGTCTGCGACAGATGCAGAGCTGAGAGTTACTCAAAATGTGGTTAACGCAGAGGGCAAAGGGAGAGTGAAAGTAACAATGGACTATGAGATTTCAAAGAACAAGAGAAACGTGTCTCTCCTCCCGTCTAAGGATTTGTAACTTAAAAGATCTCACAGGTATCGCAGGCCATGCCTAATAAAGCCAAATTTCTTTCCAAGGAGAAAAGGGAAGAAAAATCCTTCCACCTCTCCCACAATCAAATCCTGATAATTCACTTTCTCCTTTTCCAATCCCAGCCTGCACTCCCTCCCTGCAGATTCCCAGGACATGGAATGTGCCTAAAGTAAATGTCCTGATGGTAAAGATTAGCCTGACTGGGAATTCCTAATATCCCACCAGGAGACACTTGGAACTACTGGGTGACAATGATATTTTCTTAACTCTAAGTCCTCCTCAATTGAAAGATGGGCATCTTGTTATGAGAGCTGGTCAGGAAGAAAGAAATGCTTCCACAGTAAATGGGGACATTGAGTCTTAGATGCATCAAGGTGGGAAGGAGGCTTGGAATTGTCATCTAAAATCAAGAAACTTTGTAAAATCCTTATTTCCCACATTTGACCAAGTTTTTACTCAGTCTACTCAGTGTGCTCAAGGAAACGACCTGCTCCTTCACCAAGATGTTCAAGGTCATTCACAGAGCCTATGTAAGGGCTGGGGGTGTGGATCCATGTTAGAGCTTGCCTAGCATATTCATTGCCCTGGGTTCTGTCCCCAGAAACTCCTTCTCCCCCCGCCCCCTGAATTAAATTTTAAAACGAACCCAGTTCAAACTTTATTGTCACCTCCCAGGATTTGCATGTGACTTCATGGATTCTCCTTCATCTCCACCTGGCTCAAGGAAGGAGCATGCCCACTCCCACTTGGGTGTCTGTAGGCCCTGATCCGGGGAATCAGCATGTCCCCTCCTCCTCTTTCGCTGGTTTCTTGCCCTTGACTAAATTCAGCTTGGCTATCCTTTAATTTTAAAAAAGCTACCTCCCTCTCAGGCTACCATTATATCACACTGCTTCCCGTCACTGCCTAGTGCTCCTGAAAGAGTCCTCTATGTTTGCCACCTCCGCTTCCTCACCGCCCACTCTCTCATTAATCCTTCCATCTGGCCTCCGCCTTTCTCTTCTCCCGGGTCGGGCGGCACTGGGCAACCTATCTGCCAAATGCAACAGCCCGGCCGGGTTCTCTAACTATCCCTGCTCTAGCAGCATCTGACACCAGTGACCACACATCTGTGGCATTGATTTATGTATACCCTGCCTGACTCCCAAAAGGAGGAAAGGTAGCATAGAGTAATTCATAAAATAATGGGACAGCAGTGATTAGAAGTAGGTAGACCACTCAAAGAAGGGAGTTTAAAGCCAGAAAGATAAAAAGAAAAAAAATTTTAAAAGCAAGGCTAAACCCAAAATGCAAACCATACGCAGTCACTCTCAAGCAGGGGCAGCTTTGCCCCTGCCCCCAAGGGGCATCTGGCAAAAATGTCTCAATGTCTGGGGTTGTTACAATGGTGGAGTGTGACCAGGGATCTGGTGGATACAGGTCAGGGATGCACAGCCCCACATCAAAAAATTATTCACCCCTAAATATTAACAGTGCCATGCTTGGGAAATTCTGCCATATACTTCAAGGACTTATGTGTAGCTCTATTCTCCCTGACTTGTCTAATTATCAGGTGGTCATGCATAATCCTAGACGTTACTAGGAATCCCAGCTTGCCCCCAATTCTCTTTTTTGCCTTTGCTAGGTGTCTGTTGATCCCCTTCTATTAAATACCTTTCTCTAAAAGAGCTTCCCATTTACCTCCCCAGGTAAAGTCAGTTCCCCTGCTTTATACTTCGTGGCCCATGGTCTTTATTCAAAACTGCAAATAGAGTCATCAGATCATGTGGTTATAGATTTGATGTGTAGATTAGAAGCTCTGTGAGGGTAGGGACACTGTCTTGTGCAGTGCTGTTTCCCCAGGGCAACCAGAGTGCCTGGCACCTCCTAACTCCACAAAAATGTGCTGAGTAACTTGAATGAAACTTAATGTCTCATTGTCACACTCAAAGCAAAGGAAACTGCTCAGATTATTTGATTCTCTTGGGCTATCAAGATTTCTGGTTTGAAAAAAAAAATGCTGAGAATCAGTTTCACCTCAGTTAGGGGATCAGGTTTTTACCTGGTTAGTAAGATGATATTTTGCACTCACCATGGAGAGTCCTGGTCTAGCAGTATTTTCTCCAGTTACTTATCAACCTATCTGTGTTTTCCTAGTGCTTCCTACTTCAGAATGACCTTCAAAACCAGTTTGCTTCAAAATAATTTTCTCTAATGCTTTCCTTATTTACACTTCGGAAATACACATTGGCACAAAATCCCCTGGTGAAACTTCCAGGACTGGAGCACGGGACTCTGGTTGCTCAGTTCACGGCTGACAACACCAACTCATAACACCGGAAACATTTTTGTGTTTCTCTGGCTTCTTCCCTCTGGAAGGCTCCCCAAAATCTCCACATATTCCCTGGGGACATAAATAACGATGGTCCTCAACAGCTCTCATAGGCACTGCTCTGCCCGGTACTGCCAACCCCACCAACCAGATAGGCAGGGAGAGCAGCTTGGGTCCAGTTTAGGGAAAGGGTGTGACTAATTACCACATTAGGAAGATGCCTATGCTTTGAGTTTTAAACTTGTGTTATATCCCATAAAATGAAGATCTCAGTAGGAAAGCAAGCAGGTGTGATCATTTCCCACAAATGGAAATGATTAGAACTGGGAGCTATGCAAAGGGTCAAAAGTAGGAAAAGTCATTACTAAGTTCCAAAGAGAAACGGAAAACTCTGACCTTAGGTGATGGACATTTCTAATTTCTTTCAAAAAGGCAGGTTGCAGTATAATAATCCTAGCAGCAGTCGTGGTAAGGAGACAGAGTGTTAACTGAGCACTTATTGTATACAGGCCCTATGATAATCCCCAGGTAGCATCTCATCGGATCCCCACACCATTTCTACTTGATGAGAGTCCTCAGAAGCCGAGAGATTCCACCCAGTACAGCAGGAGTCTTTCCTTCTTGAGATTTAGATACATAGGGAAACCATAGGTGCTAAAAAGTAAAGTTATAGAGGGTTTCTTTGACTCAAAGGGGGTAATAAAACAAAACAGAATTTAAGCTATGATAGTAAGGCATTTCACCAGTCATCCAGAGGCCCAGATAGTATTCAAGTGGCTTCTGGAAAAGTAAGCACTTCCTTTTCCCTTTCTGAAATGACAGCCCTTCACATCTAATGGGCAGGATGCATCTGGTTTCACCTCTAGGGGGATGTGATGGGCGGAAATGTTCAACACCACTGTACTTCAGAGGTAAGAGAGGAGTATTTTAACTATTCAAAGAGGAATATAGTGAGGGTGAAGATGATGAGGATGAGGAGGAGAGGCAGACTTTGACAGTATCTTGGTAAAGAAGGAAAGCTCAGGGCAGGCATGGTCGCCCAGTGAGAGCTTTCCTGTCGGAGGGCGGGTGCATTTTCTGTGAGCTGGAGGGAGCACTGAGGATCTGCACACTCACCTGGGAGCAGCCTGGGGCACTGCAGACAAACGGCCTCTCCTGCTCCAAATTCATCTTGGATTCCTCATAAATCTGAAGGGTCAGAGGGAGAGGGAGGAAGGAAAACAGAAATTCATGAATATCTCCTGCTTCTGCCTGAGACTCATGAGAAAGACAGTCGCTCAGAGCCCCTTTTCTGCACCCGATTCCCAAATTCAAGGAGGCAAACACTGACATGAATGAACTCAGGTCCTGCTTTGCTGGAGTTCCTTGGCTCCATGCCTTCCTAAGTACATAATGGAAAAAAATGCCATCAAGATGTCACAGCCGAAATCCTGCCTCTGGAAAACTACCTGTGGGAGTTACCACCAGGTAAGACCCAACAGCACAGGAAGATTCTGAGGCAAAAGGCTGACTCAGCCCTGCTGAATGTTTCTGGGACTGACTACTTAGGACAGCAGGAGATATGACAGCCCCCTTGGTAATCAGTCCTCAGTGTGAGGAGGGCCGACCCTAAACAGTATGTTAAGTGATACCCGTGATGACCCCCAGCAAGCTGCAGTGTTGCAAAAGTAACCCTGGAATCAGTGTATCAGATTATTCTGCTGGTGAGTCATGGTCCCAAATTCCCTTTCAGCTCAGGTGTCTGATGAAGCCTCAACAGAAATTACCCATATTGTAAGGAAAGAGAAGTAAATAGAAGTCAGCAAAGGTACCCCAGATATTTTGATAATTTTGTTTTATAAGCTGATTTGAAAATAATACAGGACTGAATCTGCTGACTTACTGATCTAGATAAATAAGCTGGAATGAAGTAATTTTAAGGAGAAAAATCTTATAATCCAAAATACATTAAACAATACTATGATCTTTTCTTAGGTAAATTTTCAGTCCTAAGTGTTTTCTTTAGGCAAAAATTCAGTATAGTCAAAATTACTTTTGCAAATCCTCCCCAAAGGCAGCACAGTATATATGTATGGGTTTTTGTGGTTAACAATCCACAAAGCAACATAATTTTCAAAAAAAAATATTTCACAGGACGTAGTACACAAATTTGTTACACAATTTGAGTAGTTTTCTGTTTTTTTAACCAATTTTAGAGTTAAGTGTACATAAGTTACATGGGCAGTTAGTGGTATATTGTCTATTACTAAATTAGAACCTATTGCTTTTACTTTGTGCACAGGAAGCAATTTGAATTTTTAAAATGCTACTTTTGCAGTGGTACATACTTATAATACCAGCTATTCATGAAGCTGAGGCAGGGGGACTACAAGTTCAAGGTCAGCCTGGGCAACTTAGAAAGACCCTGTCTCAAAAAAAAAAAGCTAGGCTCAGTGGTGCATGCCTGTAATCCCAGCAGCTCAGGAGCCTGAGACAAGAGGATCACAAGTTCAAGACCAGTCTCAGTGACTTAGCTGAGGCCTTAAGCAACTTAGTGAGACCCCATCTTAAAATAAAATAAAAAACAAAAAGGGCTGGAGATATAACTTATTGGTAAAATGTCCCTGGGGTTAAATCTCCAGTACCAAATAATTAATAATAATAATTTTTAAATAAAAAATAAAAATAAATGCTATTTGTGAGTGATTCCAAAGGGACTCCCAAAGTCCCTTTACCCTTGGAATAAGGAGCTCTGCTTATATCTATATATAAAATATAAGCTCTGCTTATATCTATATATATACAGTAGTGTTTCTTCCACCAAACACTACCGTATTTGATGTGTATTCTTTAGGAAAATATGTGCATACTTTTACTTTTCTAAAACACAAAGAGAGAAGACTTGCCTTAGGTAACACTTTTAGAAAGATATTTAAAAATTTAAAAATGTAAACCCTTTAAACCATGCTTCCTCACCCCCATGCAGTTTTCACAGAGCAATGTCCTTTTCACTCTTCGTTTGGAAAGGCTTCCTAAGGGTGCCGACTTAGATAGTAATATCCATAATTTTACAGATTTCCTGTATCGAGCGTTATTATATAAGTTCATTTGCTGTATTCTATACATACATATGTGTTGCTTATTGAAAGGAGTCATTTTTTAATTTAAAAATTGTGACATATAATAATTGTGTATATGAATGGGGTACAGTGTGATGATTCAATAGCACATATGCAAATTGCAATGATCAAATGAGGGTAATTGGCATTTCCATCTCCTTAGATATGTATCATTTTTTAGTATCTGCACCCTTCCAACTCTTGTGCTCTAGTTCTACATAACATATATGATAAATCTTTACAGAGTCACACTGCTGATTTATATCCAAAAAAAAAGAAAGAAGAAAAACCACAGATACTTTTGGGATCTTTCTGCCTGCCCTTGTGTGAAGAAAGTCACAAGCAATTAAATCAACTTCTCATGTCTCATTATTCATTTGATCTTGCCATCACTGATCACAGAGCCTTCCTCCTCCCCAAACACTGACAACTTCCTTCTGAGTCTCAAAGAGTGACTTTAAAGTTGATAAAATGCTTTTGACCAAAGGTAGAATAAACAGAGTAACTGGGTTATCCTCTAAATAAATATATCTGTTTTTCTAGTAAAATTTTAAAAATGCTTTCCTGGAAACTTCCTGTCTGTCAGCTTGAGCGCTGCCAGATCATTTAACTGCTTCATGCCTCAATATCCCCTCCTTTATAAGACATTAATCTTCAGGTCTCTTGTTCTTGAGTCTCACTGCATGGTTGAGTCATTTTTAAGTTATGGCAAAAGGGCTGGGTATCTAGTGTGTGTGTGCTTAGGTGTGGGAGACATTTGTGGACAGGTGGTACTGAATCCTCAAAGAGCAAACATCCCCTATTAATAAAATTATAAAGTATTCCCTTATTTGCCTAGGTAAATCTTTCTTGGATACCACAGAGCACTTTACCTGCTAATATAATGAAGAAAAGCCTCTTTCACCAACTAACATTAGGATTACATGACAGTGAGATGGGGAAGTGCTAAATGCCCACACTTAGGGCCTACATCTGAAAGTAGTAATTAATGATTACACTTAAATTAATATCCACGCAACAGAAGTGGTCAAGAGTGGAAGTTCTGCTGAAAGTTGAAAGAGATTCATTAATAACCCAAAGCGAAGGAAGAGCTGACCAAGCTCAGGCACTTATAAGAAGAAAGCAGTTTTTCACTAAGGACACAAACGCATCCCAAACCTTGACCTACCCAAATGCCAACCTTCCCCATAAGCTTGGGGTTATCATACTCACACCTAGTATCTCTGTTTAATATCAGAATTGGTGACCCATCTTAATTATTTATTACAATTTGCCTATGAGTCATAGAAAATACCCTGGAATTATATTCTGATGCTGGTGCCTGGTGACCTAACAAGGCTCAGCCATGTAGCTGGGACTCATCTCATGGCACCTTCACGATGTGATGTTATGATCAATAGAATTCGATATCCACTGAGCTGGGTCAGGAGAAGAACTCTGCCTCAGAAAGTACCACTGGAGAAATACAGAGTCTGTCTTCAAATCGTTTATAGAGTTTAGTCACCACTATTGGTGACTATTCTGAGTGACTACGGTCATTTTATTATTTCCTTTTTTTTATTATATATTTTGTAGTTTTAGATGGACAGGATGCCTTTGTTTTATTTGTTTATTTTTATGTGGTGCTGAGGATCAAACCCAGTGCCTCACACCAGCTAGGCAAGCACTCTACCACTGAGCCCCAGCCCCAGCCCTTATATTTACTTTTTAAACATAAAAGAATCTGTATCAATTTAGTACATGCTAAGCAATAAATATGGACCAGATATGTTCAGCAACATAACACTGGAATAAAAGTGTTAAGGTAAAATGGCAGTTGCTGATATAAATTAAGTTTAAGTCTGAGGTGAGTGGGTGTGTTCTATAGTGGTATATAAACCTCAACTGCTTTATTTTGATGCTCCGCAGTTCCCACATTTGGCCTCTGCAAACAGCACTCCCTTGCTAATTCCTTTCTGTGTAGGCGTTGGCAATGGTTCCACTAAATGGTGCCACTCTACCCTGTAGGCTTCATTACTTTTGTCAACCAGTTATGATCTGGTCTGCTGTATTAGTCAAGAGCCATGGTTTATTTTTTATGGTCTATTATTATGGTTCTTTTCTAGCACATATTGCAGTAATTATTTTCTCAAACAGACTCCTGCTAAAGCCTTGCATAGATTCTTTTATCATTCATCAAGTGGGGGCAAATTACTCAGACATGATTTTCACCAGGTTGTTCCACATTTGGTTCTCAGAAGTCAGGCCTCATCTTCTCATTTCCCATTCAGTTATTTTACTAGCTGGGATTTTTTAATAAACCAAGTTTTACTTGGCAATCACCATACCCTGGGCACCACTGCATAAAGCTTCCATAGTAGGCGTTCAATAAATATTTGTGGAATGGATAATGAATCCTGAATCATCATAATAAACCACCCCAAACAGCTTGCCTGTTCCCTACTCTTGTGGAAGTGGGTTTTTTTTTATTTTGTTTTATTTTATTTTTATTTTTTTACTTTTTTGGTCCCCAAACCAAATTTTCAATGAGGCAAGAGCTTGTGTGTGACCCTCCATTCCACCTGTGCCCACTTATGGCCTTTGAAGTCCCCAGACTTCATGGAAAAAAGTCAGAGGTGCTTGCTTTTGGTGAACACAGTGGGGTAAAGCTAGTTTTCATAAAATCTCACATGAAAATGTATTAACTCATTATAAGTTTAACCCGTTAATGTTGCCATAGACATGGAAACCACCAAAGTCTAGTCTGTTTGCTGTGTGCCATGTATGACCCCCGCAGAGAGCTGTCTGAAAAACACATCCCATAGCTTTGGTTAGAACTAGTCATAATTGTGGTAGACACTCTCATCATTTAAAAACTTTTAAATAGTACTAAAATTCTCAAAATTCCAAATTCAGATTTATTTGCTCAACAAGAGCAAAGAGTTCACGGAGCCTTATTTTCCATCAAATTTTTTGGAAAACAACAAAAAATTCTAAAAATAAACCCTAATAGTACACAAAGTCAATTGAGATTTCCATAGCTGACAAGGAGATGACAGGCTTGATTTACAATTCAAACCCTCAACTGCCACTGGATTCCTCTGGCCTCAA